CAGGGCCTGGAATCAGGAAAACTCATCTTCCTGAGTTCAAATCTGGCCTCAGATACTTACTAGCTGTGTGACCCTGGGCGAGTCACTAAACTCTGTTTGCCTCAGTTTCCTCATCTATAAAATGGGCTGGAGAAGGAAATAGCAAACCACTCCAATATCTTTGCAAAGAAAATCCCAAATGGGGTCACAAAGAGTTGTACATAACTGAAACAACTAGACAACAACAATCTCAGCTTCACCAGTGACCCACATTTTACTAAGTCTCAGCTAACCTATATCTCAGCTTCCTTGCCTATAAATGACTTGACTAGCTTATCATGCTACTGTTGTTTTGGAGATCAAATGAGAAAATGTAAGTTAAATATCTGAAGTGTATGAGGTCACATATGAATGTAAGGTAGTATTACTGTTATGCACCTTTTTTCTTTCTTCACTTCCCCTCTAAATTCTTTACTTCAATCTTGCTGTTTTCTTCCCCTTTTTGCCTTTTCTGCTTATGCACCCACTGGCTTAGCCCTACTGACTGTATTCAGTCTGAAGGTTGCTTCCTCTTGTTAAGGGGATAGTCTACTCCCAAATTAACAAAAAAGAACTCTATACTCTCACCTACTCCAAGTACAGTTATTCTAATGAAAGCTTCTAGCCATCTGTACCCTGCAGAGAAGCAGAAAAGGCTGCCAAAAACAACAGAATGCTATCAGTCTAGTTTAGTGTCCCTCATCTGTGGCCAAAGAATTTCTCAAGTTATTATAACAAAACTAAAAACAGAAAGTCACACAAAAAGCTAGATTCTAAGTCATTTTCCCTTTCCCTGCTGTGTTTTCTGAATCAAAAGGCTATGCCCCTGGATAGTCATTACAGTCATGGGGAGTGCCACACTGGGGAAAAATGGGAACAGCTTCAAGTTTCAATGAAGCAATTTCTCACCTCCCAACAGCACAAGAGAACACAGTTAAGTTTCACACCAAAGAGAATAGAAAAGTCAGTCTGTTGGCATGTTTCCACCCTTAACCAATATACTCTTCTAAATGAGCTATAGTTTTTTTACAAGATTCTTTAAACTAAGTGATTTCAGCTTTAGATACTATTCTGCACACAATGATATCTACCTACTTTTCTCTTCTTCTGTTAAAATGCAACGTACTAATCAGAGAAGTAGGAGAACCTTAATTCTAGTCCTAGCTCTGCCACGAACTCATTGTATGATCTTGGGAATAAGTTATTCTTCTGTAGACTTTAGTTTCTTCTTCTGTTTAAAAAAAAAAGGAATTGAGAGAGATGATTTTCAAACATTTATGATCCTTAGCCTAGATTGTATTACTTAGTCTTCTACATAAAACTACAGTCCAAGTAATTTGTCTAAGCTCACTCTATGACAAGTAAAATCATTTAATCTTTAGCTTCATCCTGAATTGCCTTAATCAGGCTACAAGTTCCATAAGAACAGGAATCTATTTTTTCTACAATCTCTAAATTCTTGCTCTTCACAGAAGTATCTCCAACCAGTAGCTCTAATTACTAATAAACTCAGAGAATGTTATAGCCTGAAAGAGACCTGAAAAATTATCTAGTCTCTCCCTTATTTTACAAATGGGAAAACTGAGGACCTAACAGAGGAAGTGATTTGCCCAAAGCCACGTAGCAAGATAGTAGCAGAGATGGGACTGAATAATGTCCTTTGCTTCCCTACAGGGCACAGATGGTTAAAGGAGAACACATGTCTGGGATTTCAAAAAAAGAAAGTACACTTTGACTGAAGCTTTGCAAAAGGAACGTTCTTTGCCCATGGGTTTTATACTTCGGTTAGGGAAATATGGTCACTATTTTTATAGCACACAATGCTTTGAATCCTATAGTCACTCAAAAATAGTTTAATATATATAACATATATAATTGTTTAATACATATAAAATAGATATAACACATCTATAACTGCTGATTTCCATTTGTTACACCCTTCTATTATAGTGGGCATAAATATTGAACATACTACTTCATGGATACTAATTTCTGGTTGTTTTTTCCTTATAGTTAATCATGACAATTCTTTACCTAAATAAGATAAAGTTTGTTGTCCTAATTTTCATTTTTATATGGCTATTCATAGAAACTTAGTTATGACTATAAAGTAAATATTCAATCACCTGAAGTAAATATAGTTTGAGCATTTGCCAGAGAGCCAATAAGTGAATACTAAATGAACTAATTAAATAAAAACTTCATTGTTTATAGATGATAGAATTTTTTTTTCTTTCCCCTAGACATGGATTGATCATATCTAGATTCAACTAGTTTTATCTGCTCCATACTTACATAAAGGAGTCTATATTTTTCATCCTTTAACCTTAAAAAAGAAACTAGTGTCTACCTCTATCCCACGCCCTTCAAATTCTGCATATGGTAAAGCAGAGGAATCATACTCAGTACAAATGACTCAGATTAAAATGGAAATGGAAACTATTTTAGCAAAATAAATAAAAATAAAACATAGATAATGTTAATTTGTGATTTTCTGAGTCAACAGCACAGATACTCACCAGGAGGCAAAAGGAGTATTATTCAGAATTAAATATGTAACCTTAAATTGTTGTTCATATAGTAACAAAAATTCAAATTCTTCTTTGGTACTTTGGGAAAGAACAGATAATCTCCTCAGAGGGAAAATGATTTTTTCCCCATATAATAAAAGTATGAAAATATACATTTCAATCAGCATTTTGATTCAAAATTTCCAAAGTATAGATCTGGCCACAGAGCCACAATAAGTCATCTCTGATCTAGGTATGCTCCTCCAGGGCAACAAGGAAAGCTGTTAGGTTTTGCTCAGCTAGCTTCTGACAGTAACAAAGATTAGATAATACAAACTAGTCAGGGGAAAGTACTCAGTGTGAGAATTTTTCTTTCCCTACTTAATGGCAAAGAGGGTTTTTTTTTCTCTGGAGGAAAGAAATGTCCTAAGAATGGGAGAACCTGACACATACCTTATAATCCTAACAATCTCCATAAAAATGTAACAGACTCTTAAGACCTAAGGTGGAACTAAAATCTCAGATTGTAGAGATGAAATTGCTTGACAAGGATAAAACTAATTAAAAGCTACCCTTTTCACACTTTTTAATATACCTAATAATTTCTGTTTGTACAATAACAAACCTAGAAAAATATTTAATATTAAGTGGCTGCTAGAGGATATTTGAGGCGGAGGTGTGGGGAGTGGAGTGGGGAGAGAGAATCAAGATCCCTGGGGCTGACAGCTTGTGGATTTTTAAACAAAATCCTTCTGCATTCTTCATTTGTTCAATTTCATCCTAATCCCAAAGTTAGTACTGGAATAGGACCAAATATGATAGTATTTATCAAGCCACTGCTCTACAGAAAATGGAATGATCACCTAAAAAATTTAAGTGGGTACCAAGGTGGAAAGGGAAAACATAACAAAGAGTTAACCTGCTCTACCAACCCAATCTCTTCTCAAAGATGCTGTCCTCTATGATAGCTTGCCACGTTCCACCCAACAACAGCTGCTCATGATAATCAACGTCTGACAGTTCAGAGAAAGCCCTTAATGTGTCGCCAAGGGGCAGTTCAACAGATGGCATAGTGACTTACAACCAGAATCATTAATTACATTCCCTTATTAGTCCCGGGGCACAGTGCTGAAAATGCTTCCTCAGTGAAAGACGACCATTTCAGATAAATGACTGTCTGGTATTGCCTGTGCAACTCCCTCTAGGACTTCTGGTCATTGCTGATTTCTAGTCAAAATGATGCTATTTTTACAGTCGTTTCCCATCTTCCAGGTTCAAGCTGGCTATGAACATGAAGTTCTTACCACCACTATTCATAATTACTCCCATCATCACTGCAGGTAAGGATAATGTACAACATGCACATTATTTGTTTTCTACTGCACAGTCAGATGACAGTGTTGAAACACAAACTCACTTAATCGTAATCATCTCACCTCTGAAAGCCTGAAGACTTAATTTCTTTCCCCTCTATGCCAAGGAATTTATGTTTTCTGAGTTGAGGCAGAGGGAAGTTTCCTCTGCTCTCTTTATATCATTTTCAATTTGGGCTACATTTATAAAATATAAAGTTTAAGACAAATTCATGGGCATGATTAAAAAAAAAAACCCAAAACCTGCTTTCCTATGGCCAGTACTCTCCAATAGCCACAGGGGATAGTACCTTTTCATAGACTATAAGCTCCCTGAGAACAAGGAAGAGTGTTTTAATTATCTTTAGAACTCTGCTACCATCTAACCCAGTACAGTGGTACTTAAATATTTGTTGTGTGAATACCTTCTTATAATCAAGTGCACTGCTGGAGCAAAGGTAACAATAGGTATTTGTGTAGGAGGCTACCCAAGGACAAGTGCTCCCAGTCCTTTTCTATAAAAAGATTACATATGATGTGGCATTTGCTAAGTGTCAGAGGGGAACAATCCTTATTTTCTCTCCTTGTTGATGAAAACCTACCAGGGATATAAGAATAAGGGTTAAACTTCATAGAATGACAACTATGAAATTTCTGAACTAACAGCACACAGGGCATTGAAAGTACACTGCTTATTGGTTTTAGCTTGTATAACACTCAGAACTTTGGAAATGACTAAAGAAACTTGTGGGCACTCTCCAACTTCTGTCTGATAACATTCTTCTATTTCAGTGCCATCTCTGAGGCCTGTATCTCAGGCAACAAATATTTTACCTGAGTTCAAACTGGTATGTTAAAGGTTAGGCTCTAAAACACCAAGAGTGGGAGTTAATGAAATTTCTTTCCCGAAATCTAAGGCCTGTTCTTTCCTGGCTGTAAAGAAATATGACCAATACTTACAAGAAGGTCCAAACAACTCTGATACCTAACAGAATTTTCTCTTCTCACATTTTTTTTTTTTTTAAATAAAAAGGGTTGTTTCAAGGATTATACCCACTGAGTGGTGTGAGCTACAGGGAGAGGAATTGAGGGATTCTGGCTCACTTTGGATAGTACTTACTTCTAGTTTTTTCTCCTTCTCTGTCAAAACATCTTTCTGGTTCTGGGTATACTCCACCAACATGCGTGCCAGCTGGCGCCGGTCTTCCAGTTCTGCTGCCAGTCGCCCATTATATTCTGCTAGTAACAAACATGCTTCATCCACTGTCTTTGAAAGACGTTCAGCTGCCTCTTTGTCTAAGCACAAATGTGACCAAAAAAAAAAAATTGAGACAACTCACAAATCACATGGGCATGGCTGAGGTGATTGGGCAAGGGAGGTGTGAAAGGGCAGGTGGAATGGAGAAAGGGACAGTCAAAGGACTTCTCCCCAATGTACAGAGTCTTTTTTTTTCAAACACAAGAATAGACCTGGACTTAGAGGGAAACAATGAAACAGTTATAATTTGGAAGTCCACCATCATCTAGATAAAACTATTTCTGAACTACCTAAGGTGAAAGAGCTCTGTAGAGGGAATTTGACAAAAGGATACCTAAATGCTCTACTTTATCAAAGCACTATGGGAATGCTAACATCCAAACAAAATAGGCAATGACTTTGGTTTTAAAAGCTAAGCTAAAAAGAATTATTCCTTTTCTTAATACATTCAACATATTTCCATTTATGTTACCTTATTTTTCCTTCTTTAAATAATGTCAGTTATTTACTATTGGGGTTGGGGGGGCAGACTTTTCATTTTGCTGATGTAGGAAACTTTTGGTGAGGAAATTTCCTCTATTAAGGCAGATCAGCAACTGTTTTGCAGTTTTTAGTCTTAGAGAGAGGTCTGGGGACCTCAGATGCCCAGGGTCACAAACAGTTTGTGTCCGAGGCAGGACTTGAATTCAGATTTTCTTAAGTTGAGGATGGCTTTCTAATCACTATACCACACTGTCTCTCATTAGAACTACATATATGCAAGGAAGCAGTATTATTAAAAGCCAAAAGGAGTCATGACATACTCTACATTTCAATAGATGATTTTTAGGATGCCTGAAGGTAGTATTTTTTGTAGGAATTCAACCTACATTTGGTAAAATCCAAACAGAAATTCAGATTTCATTACATGAGCTCCAATTATATGCCTTTGACAACAAACAAGTATGCCCTCTGTCCAATATAGCACAAAAGCTTAAACCTTCAGCAATAAGTAGATCTCATAATTCAGTGTATAGCAGATATTTTCCCCCCTCTTTTACCTTGGACCCAAAGGTCTCACCTGTAATTTTCTCTAGAAGTGAAACATCTTGGACTTCTTGTGGTAGTGAAGCAATTTTCTGCCTCACAGTGGCATCACCTGATGCAGCATTTTCCAAATCTTGCAGGGCTTTGATCAGTTCCTCGGTCTACCAGACAGAAAGCCAATGAAAGTCATTAATACACAGAGAATTTCATCTTTCTTAGAAATCTGTTTAAGTTAAACGAGGTGGAGATAATTTTTAAAAACAGGTACTCCAGGTAAGTTTATAGATTCTGTCCTGAGAATTCACACTACTCATTCTATTTTCCCATTTACCAACAGTATAGTGTAAGGGAATATATAAAATTAATTTCTGAAATTTAATAATGGTAAGACAAAGATGAAATTCTACACTATACCTTAAAGATCACATTCCAAATATATCCATGGCAAAAAGAACCTTAGATAATATTTTCTGTTTTGTTGCATACAGTGCCTAGAACTATACTAAGATTACAATATTTTAAAATAAGTTTTTGACAGCTTTTCTGTTTTTACATTATCTAAATTTTTCCCTATAACCCTCCTCTTACTCTAAAACTGTCTCAATTTTTTTTTTAAGAAAAGAGACAAAGAGGGAAAAAAAAGGAAAATTGATTAATACATTTAAAAAAAAAATATGATGTTATATACCATGTTCCATACCCATGGAATACCTCTGCAAGAGTAGAAAGGGGTACCTTCTTATATCTTTTCTTTGGGGATATGCTTATTTTTTGTAACTTTGCAACCTTCATTTTTTTTCTTCATAGTCATCATTTCTTACAGCAATATAATATGCCATTAAATTCATGTACCACAAATTGTTTCACCATTCCCAAGTGATGGGGAATTATTTCCAGTTCTTTGCAGCCACAAAAAGGCGCATAATATTTGTTGAGGAGATGCACAACAAATGTTCATTGAATAAAAAAAATGCATAGTGTATGTTTCAAATTATTTCATGAGTCTGCCCAAAAAAAACCAGGAATTTCCATTTTCTAGGAAGGTCACTAATGAGTCACCATTTTTAAGGTTAAAAAGAAAAGTACACCAAGCTCATTAGTAGCAAAGAATTAAGGCCCCACATATATCAATTCCATACCATTCAAAAGTATTTGTTAAAGTACTATGTGTACAGGGGTCCTGGGGATGCAAAGAAAAAAAAACTAAACAATCCCTGATCTTAAGTAACTTACATTCTATTGCAGGTAGGAAACAGGTGAGGGTGTACAGATAGAAATAAGTTTATAGAAATTAAGTACAAAATAATTTCAGGATAAAGGGAGCATAACAGCAAGGTATGTGTCTGTGTGTGTGTGTGTGTGTGTGTGTAGATTCAGAGCCAAGACTTTTGTCAAAGGTAGTTTCAATTGTGCCTTGAAGGTCACTAGAGATGACAAAAAAGGAAAGCATTCCAGGCGTGGGGAATAGCCTGTGCAAACACACTGTGGTAGAAAATGAAATATCATGGAAGAGCGTCCTAGGAACAACAACTAGGCCAGTTTGGCTGCAACATAGAATGTATGAGGGGGAGTAATATAAAATTAGTTGAAAAGACAAAATGCAACCACATTGTGAAAGGTTTTTTAAAATAAAAAACCAAGGGATCACAGCGAGCCCATAAGGCTTCCTGAGCAGCAAAGTGATGTGGTCAGCCCTGTGCTTTAAGAATATCAATTGGGTAGCTATGTAGAGAATAAACTAAAGAAGATGGAAGAGATTCAAGGCAGAGAGACAGATTAAGAGCCTAGGGTAATAATCTAAGTGTAATAATAAGGAACTGAATAAGAGAAGTAGCTGTGTAAGTAAAGGGAAGGGATAAAATGTGAGAGAAGGGGCAGTCAACAAACCTTGGCAACTGCCTGGACGTGGGGAGGAGAATGGGGGTAGAGAGTGGGGAAGAGTATGTGTGTATAAGAGTCAAAGAGTTGAAGGTGACTCTAAAGTTTCAAATCTGTATGAGAATACTTTCATAAAGTACAAGTCCAAAAAAAAAAAAAGAGAGAGAGAAAATTGGAAAGAAAAATATAAAATGTTTTGATAGATTCACCAATTATAATAATTTCAGAGAACAGTTGACTTTTTAGCTATTAACCAAATGCAAAATGGATAATTCTCTAATTCTTTATAATTTACAAACATAAAATGTGTATCTGGTGTGATCATTTAACCACTCACCCCCCAACACACTTAAGAAATAGACAAGCACCAGAGAGAGGCATTTATAAAATAAACAGGCATATACAACTCTACTAAAGTCTTCCTCTAATGTTTCATCACTGCTAGGTCCTACGGAGGTTGAGCAGCATCAATCTAGGTACAGCATTAGACTAACATGCCTGTTGTTAGTCTAGAACCAGCCTAATTTGAAAGATCATTATCAGAAGGTTGGTCATTAAATGATGAACTTTTGGGCCATAGTAATGAATCTAATGCAGCAGGAACACCATGTGTGCACACACATTGGAGGTATGGGAAACAAAGTTTGAAATCTATATTAGTGGAGGGAATTCACAATGATAAAGTTAAGGACATCTGAACTAATACATAGTTTCATCAACAAAATTTACTAAAGACCTAAAGTGTGCAAGATACCATATTGACATAGGGATATAAAAGTTCCTAACGCATGTATATAAATGAGATAAAACTTTTTAGCTACTAATTCCTGAAGAACCACATACAAATTTAAAAAAAAAAATCAAATCTTAACCACTGCTCTAAATAAAGCATAAAAAAAAAAGCCAATGTAGTTGTTTGCCAAGAAAATAATGCAAGAGAGGTTCAGCAGGAGCTACCCACTTTAATCTTTATTTTTACTGGTTATTAGCACCACCTTGTGGTCATATTTTCAACTGGGGGGGCTGTCATTTTTTTAAAAAATCTTTGTGGATATCTTTTGTTTTTACATTGCTTACATTTCTCACTCCATCCTAGTTTTCTCTCTTCCCAAAGAGCCATCCTTATAATAGGAATTTTTAAAGAGAAAAAAATTCATCAACACCAATCAATACCCTAAAAAAAAATCTGACTATATTCAATGTTCCATACCTCTGCAGAGGAGCAGGTAGAGAGAGCTATCTTCCCACATCTCTTTGTGGCCAAGCTTCTACACAGTTTGGCAAAATTCATTTGCTTTTTATGGATTTTTTCAAAAATCTTAACAGTTGGGGCAGCAAGGTGGCGCAGTGGATAGAGCACCAGCCCTGAAGTCAGGAGGACCTGAGTCAAATCCAGCCTCAGATCAAACACTTGACACTTACTAGCTGTGTGACCCTGGGCAAGTCACTTAACCCCAGTTGCCTAAAAATTAAAAAAAAAAATCTGAACAGTTTTCCTTAATATCCTCTCCCCTACCTGAGAGTACTTCCGATCCCGTAAGTGTTTTTTAAAGAGGAAAAAAAAAGGAAGAAAAATCAGCACATATGTTTAACATATTTTAAAAGTCCAAAAACATGTTCAATAGGCAACACCCAAGGATCCCCCACCTCCAAGACAGGGTGAGTTGGGAGTGTACTCTCATATCTTTTTTTTCTGAGTCACACTTGATCGTTAGATATTGAAAAATTAGCAACAATAGTTAAATTGGAACCCACCCCCTCCAAAATAGAAATGATAAATAAAATAAAAGCTAGCGTTTTGGAAAGACTAATAAAATTGATAGACTTTCAGCTAACATGACTAAAAAAAGGAAAGAAAATCAATAAAATATCAAATGAACAAGATTAAATCATAACAAAAAAGCATAATCAGAACCCCTTATGCATTGTCACATGCTAATAAAACTTAGAACATAAAAGAAATAAAAGAATACTTCAGAAATATAAGATACCCAAAGTGACAGACCAGAAAGAGATCATAAATAACTCAACCCTAAAAACATTCCTGTTCCTTACAGATTCACAAGAGAATTCTATAATATTTTAAAAGAATAATTACTTTTGTTGTTTAGTCATTTTTCAGTTGTGTCTCAGTCTTCATGACCCCACTGGGGTTTTCTTGGCAAAGATACTAGTATAGTTTGTCATTTTTCCTTCTTCAGATCATTTTACAGATGAGAAAACTGATGCAAACAGGGTTAAGTGACTTGTCCAGGGACACACAGCTAGTAAGTGCCTGGGCCTGGATTTTAATTCAGGAAGATGAATCTTCCTGACTCTAGGCCCAGCATTCTATCTACTGTATCAGTTAAGCTGTCTGCAATAATTAATTCCCATACTATACAAATCTCAAAAACTGAGAAAGTAAGCTCCCTACTAGAATCTTTTTATGACACATATTATAGTCCTAACACCTAAACAAGGCAAGGATAAAACACAGAAGGAAAACTGTAGGCCAATGTCATTAATAAATATTAATTTTTAAAACTTCAATAAAATTCTAAGACTACAGTGAATTATCCAAAAAATCATTCATGAAGGTGCTGGGTTTATACCAGAGATGCAAGGATGGTTCAACATTAAGAAAATAGAAAAACAATCAATAGTTAATCATATTAAACGTCAAAATGTCCAAAATCACAAGATTACCTCAATACATGCAGGGAAAAACTCTCACAAAGTACAATATTAATTTATGCTTAAAAAATCAACAACAAAATACAGGCATAGAAGGACCTTTTTTAATATGATAAAAAAAATCCATTTAATTTGCATGACCTCAGATGTATGATGGGTATTATTATTTCTTGCTTTCTCAATGGGTGGGGGTAGGGGTAGGGAGAGAATTTGGAACTAAAAATAAAAATCAAAAAATAAAATAAAACCAGAAGCAAGTATCACATGAATATGAGATATACTGAACCTTTTCCAATAAATAAGAGAGTAAAGCAAAGATGCCCTTTCTACCCACTGTTACTTTATATAGTTCTTGAAATGTTAGCAATAGCAGTAAGACAAGAGAAAGAAATTAAAGGCATAAAGATAAGTAAAGAAGAGATAAAAACTATCATTTGCTGATATGATGGCAAACTTGAAAAACCCTAAGTGAATTAGCAAAGATACTAATCAAGACAATAGCTTCAGCAAAGCTGCAGACTGGAAAATAAACCCTCAAAATAAAATCATTTCTATATTAACAACAAAATCCAAGGAGAATAAGAGAAAGGGAAATCCTATTCCAAATAACTGCAAAATGCATAAGATACCATGGAATACTGAAACACACAAAAGACTTGTAGAGATTCAATCATTACAAAGTGCTCCTTAAAGAAATAAAGAACTAAAATGGCTGGAGGCTGGGTTCATGGCTGGGCAGTGCTAGTATTATAAAAACGACAATACTATGAAAATTTGTACTTTCAATGTTATATCAATCAAATTACCAAGGGGATCCTTTACAAAATTTGATAAAATAAAACAAAATTCATCTAGAAAAATAATAGATCTATAACATCAAGAGAAATGATGAAAAGAGGTCAGAAGGTACCATCATCAAAACCATCTGGTACTGATTAAAAAATAGAGGTAGATCAATGGAACAACTAGACCAAGGAGAATCAGAAACAATGTAACTCACTGGCTATTGCTGCCTCAGTAAATTTCTGAAGTTTGGAGTTTAGATCTTCAGGCACTGGAAAGAAGGGGGGAGGGTCACATTCTTTTGCAAGCCCATAGTTCCAGCAGGCTATTGCAGTCTTGCTGCTGGAAGAATGGTGAGTGGTAGGGAGAGGGGATATTGCATAAGCTAAGTTAGGCATTAGTTCATGGAATTTTTTACTTTTTTTGTGTTCATTAATGTCCTATACCATGGAGGCAGATGAAATCATTTTTATTTCTGGTGCTTAATTTGTTTCAGAAAAGCTGATTGTTTTAAGAATTAGAAGAAAAAAGTCTACTCCTCTATCTTGTTGGTCAAAGGACCTGGAAGTCCATAATATTTTCAACTGTTTTGTGGTAACTGTTCTTTCCATTTACACTGTTGTAATCTTTGTATTTATTGTTTTCCTGTCTCTGTTACTTCACTTTACATCAGTTCATATAAGTCTTTCCTCATTTCTCTGTATTCATCATATTGGTTGTTTCTTCCAGTATGGTAATATTTCTTACATTCATGTACCATTATTTGTTTAACCACATCCCATTTGATAGGCACCTACTTTGTTTCCAGTTCTTTGCTAGGACAAAAATGCCATTATAAATATTCTGGTACATATGGAACCTCTCTTTTTATCAATGACCTCCTTGGGGTATATGCCTAACAATGAAATCTCTGAGTCAAAGTGGCATTTTAGTCACTTTATTTGCCTAATTTCAATTTGCTTTCCAGAACAGTTATACAGAGTCGCAACTCCACCAACATGCATTGATTTGCCTGTCTTTGCATAACTTTTCCAATACTATTCAAACACAACACTATACAACTAGATGTCTTTTGTCATTTTTGACAGTTTTCTGGGTGTGAGGTGAAACCTCAGGGTTACTCTAATTTGAATTTCTCTTACCATTAGTGATTTGGAACATTTCTTTCATACAATTCTTTTGAGAATTGTTTTGTTTACATTCTTTGACCACTCATCTACTGGGAAAAGGTTTTTGATTTTGGATTATTGTCCATATATCTTGGATATCAAACCCTCAGAGATACTTGATACAAGTTTTTTTCCCCATATAATTGTCTCCCTTCTTATCTTAGATGCATTAACTTTGTTGTGCAAAAGCTTTCAATTCATGTAATCAAGTTTATCTCTTTTAACTGTTATAATTGCTTCTACTGGTTAAGAATTTCCCTAAGGGGCAAACCTTAAGTAGTTTACCCCCATTCATTAGACATACCAAGAGAGGGCCTGCAGTAGGATCTTGGGGAGAGTAACTTCCAGGGTAATCATCATCTTCATCTTCTTGTATCTGCTGAAAGGTTCGCTTGAGAGATTTCTTCTCTTCTGTGGCTATGTGACAAAAACAAACAACAAACCAAAAAAAAGCATACTAAGTCACATAGTCTTAAATACTATGCATTATTTCTTATATGCAAACTCAGGGCAAAAATCTTTACAAATTCTGAAAAAGGCGTTTAACACTTTTACAAATAATGCGATGGATTTTAGCAGTACACAGCATTAAGCGTGACCAAAGGTGGTGTTGGTCTATGTCAGTTTAGACTAACATGAAGAAACATGTGCAATAGTGAAAAAGCAGAAGTTGTCTATTTAATTCTAAAGCTTCACCATTTTAAAAGAAATCTGATTGAAAAGTGAAATAAAAAACATCAAGCAATGTGACCCTGACTGCAAATCCTGGCTCTGCCACTTAAGTACTTTATCTCATTGGACCTCAGTTTCCTCATGTAAAATGAAGACCTTGGTCTGGATTATTTCTAAGGCCCTCCTAATTCTAAATCAATGACCTTATAATCTAATTTAAACAATCCAATAGAAATGATATTTCAGAGAGACCATTACTCTTTACACATAAAAAAGTTTTAATTGCTGTGGCTTTAAAAAAATCACCAAAGACAACACATAAAAATGCACAATCACCAAGTTAAGACTTTTTCAAATACATACATTCTTACTACGTCTTTAAAAGTAAGTCCAATTTCACTTTAAAATAAAAAAAGTTACTGAGAAATGCAAATGAAACTAAAAGGTTCAGAAATGAAGTAAACTGCCCGAGAGCCACTGAAACTAAACCTTTTTTGTTGACAATTAAAAATTTTAATTTTTCCACATGCTCTAGGTTTTTAAGAGATGTACCAATAACTTTTGAAATAATTATTTTCACATTATGTTGGACAGAAAAGCCAGAACTATTATAAAGAAACAAATACACTGTGATGCAAATTCACAGAATGAAGATACTATTTAAATTTTTTCTATGATCCTAAAGATGTGCTACTTGAAGGGTAATAATCTAAAATCTGAGAAGATAAAAGATCCAAAAAGCCATGGAAAACGAATCCACTAGAAACTATATTCTTTTTCTTTGGCACAGCAGAAAAAGAACTGAGTTTGACTGAATAAGGAGATCTGAGTTAAATGCTGCTCACTCGCTGTGTGGCCTCAGGAAAGTCACAGAATCTTTTATCTCTAGATTTCAATTTCCATATGTGTAGAATAAATACACGTGTACTCCCTACCATACAGCTTTATGATTGGTAAAGTGCTTTGTAGAACTTAAAAGTGCTACAGAAATATGAGTAGCTATTATTAACGACTACAGCATAGAACGGCTAAGGGTAGGTTGGAGACAAGAGGACCATTGTGAATGATCACATATGTACATCTGCGCAACAAAGATTCTTCTTCCACATGAGCACGCTGAATATGTCATAAACATAAACTATCAAAAAGAAACCTACAGGACTCCTTATTTGAAAGGCTCTCCATATAAGTACATAACAAGTACAAAAATAAATTTGTCCACAACTGTTACCTTAGAGGCAGTGTGGTACAGTAGAAAGATAAGTTGACTATGAAGTCAGGGGACTCAGGTTCAAAATCTCCAATGCTTATTACTTAGGAAGTCACCCTCAGAGGTATCAGTTTTTTCATTTGTAAAATGAGAAGGCTTTCAAGCTTTACACCTTTAAACTTACGCTAGTGGGAACAACAAGAAAGATGCAAAAAAGGACAAAGCTATTAGTCCTGACAAAACAATAAGTATATCAACCCATTTATCCCCTTCTTCACCATCACTACAGCACTTCATTTGGACAAACCTCATACCAATTACAGCTATCATATTCTTGGACTACATGATTCTTCTATCTCAGACATTGACTGTTCCTTATATGAGGTCTGAAAGCTAATTTTAAAAACATTTAAACTTATACTTATCTCTATCTGTACCTACACAATAATTTGAAACATCTTTAAACTGAAACAATTGGGTATATTATAAAGTAAATCATTTGTGGTAAGTTAAGTGTAGAAACTTAACTGTGGTATAAAAGTAGCCACATTTTAAAAAAAAGTTTAGAAATTGCTGCAATTTTTAAAAGTCTAATAATACAATGACCATACTCTATACTTATTTCCTCCAATGCTTCACGCAGCACAGTGATCTGGGCTACATTAGAATCAAGGCCAGCAGAGTGCCAGCTCTGCCAAATCCTACCAAGATGAGAAAGCTTCAAGTATAGGTCTAAAAGCTATCTGACCAACTAAGTTCTCAATATCAGAAATATTACCAAATGATTAAGGTTTTTTTTTGGAAGGGGTTGTAATCTATACCAGTGGTAGAAGGACTCACACCAATGAAATCAAGAATCTTTTGAAGTATTGAAGAAATGTGTACCATGTATCACTGCTTTTGCAAAACACTTAGAAATAAACATTCTCATATGATTCAACAAACCTGTAAGACACCACAAGGTATTATTATTCACATTTTACAAATGAAGAAGATGGAAACTTAAGATCTATTAAGTGACTTGTCCCTGGTCACATAGCTTATAGACACAGTGGCCAGGATTAGGAAGATCTTCAAAATGCCAGCTCTACAGACAAATCAAATCATAGCTTCAAATCTTTCTCTAGGGTTAATAATTTGACCCACAGGATGCCAAATTTGTAGATGATGTTCATCAGCCAGGACACCAGGAAGCCAGAAAGAGAAGGGGTATGCATAGTCAAAGTAGATTATAATCATAATCATAAGCCTCCCACCTGTCTACCTTTCTTTCCTCTATGTATTGTATCAGAGACTGGCTCTAGCTCTAGACTATGGACATCCCATACTTCTGTAAACAAAAGCCCAGTTTCTTTTTGATTAGGTGCCAGAGGGCATTAAGGATCTCTGTGTAGCAACATAAACCACAAATCCTAGGACTAATGCAATCTTTCTTAATATAGAGAAAGTCTGTTATTCCATCAGTTTGCGCTCTACTTCTCATATCTCACCCAACAAATATAAGACATACTCAAAAGAATAATAATCTAGCTTTGGACATCAAAGTTGCAGCAAAGTTGCTAGAGCCAAAATTACTGTGGCAAACAGTGAACTGAAGTTATTAGCACAGCCTGTTTGTTCCAACAGTGACAGCTATTTCCAAATTCAGGTAAAAAAGTCAAGACCTGCCTCATTCAATATAAATCTTTCCATCAAGACTAGATATAGTAACATTATTATTGTTTTGTAGAACACATCTGCAGATGGACCTCACTTTACACCATAAATGTATGTCCAAAGAGTTGAGTATACATACCAAAGTTTTGCAATGGAATATCTCACAAGTACTAAAGTACAAGTACCTAGGAGAACTCTGCACAGAATCCCTTTATAGAATGAATAATATTTTGTAAGGCAGCTCATTAAGTCTAACTTGCAAAGCAGGTGGTGATCTGCATTGGTTGAGGGAAGTCTTCTGATTGGGAGTTTTTTATACCAATTAAATCATAAATCTGTAATCCCTCCCCCTCAAAAAGTCTGCTTTTCTGATAGGCAAATAACCAGCCTATGATAACAGAAAGCACCTTGGACCAGAAGGCAAAAACATTTATGTTGTAGTTCTGGCTATATGGTAAGTAACCATTTCTTCAATTTCATATTTCCCTTATCTATAAAAAGAGACGGGTGGAGGGGACTGGATTAGCTCTTCAAGGTCTTTTCCAGCTCTAAAATTATGACTGTCATCCACCTTGTCCCAGCAATTTTATTTTCACTTACAACTTTTCTTAAAGTGGGGGCATACCCTTATTTGTAATAAGGTTAAAATATCAAAGGAGGCAAAAGACATACATTCCTAATCAATCTGAACTACGCATATCTGTTAACTACATAAATCTCAGCTACTTGGTTCCAACACCCAGTGTCTATCAACAGTGGAAACAATGTTATACCATGAATTTCTTTAAACCACAAGACGGCAATAATATCGGCTCCAGAGCACCTTATTGAAATGTTATAATAATTCACATTTATAAAATACTTTGATGTTTATAGATTTCTTGCATCATGACAACCCCAAGAAGCAAGTAGTACAAATATTATCCCCATTTTACAGATGAGGAAACTGAGGCTTAGGAGGTAAAATGACTTACCCAATGACACCAAGCTATTAAGTGTGTGAGGTGGGATTCAAACATCGGTCTCTTGGTTGTAGGTCCAGTACTCTTTCCACTGAACATTTTACAATCTAGCCAAACTGGTCTTCTGGCTGTTCCTCTAATGTGCTTGTATCCCCCACCTTTGTATTGGCTGTCCTGCACACCTAGAATGCTTTGGCTTTTCACTCCTGCCTCATGAAATAAATCCCTCACTTCCTTTCAGGCTCAAGTGTCGCTTTTGCATGAAGTCTCTCCTATATAGACATGTTTCCTTTTGCAGAATGTAAGCTCCTTTGGAGGAAGGAATTTTTAAATTTTTGTCTTTGTATCTTTGGCACTTAGCACAGTTCCTGGTATATGGTCGATGTTAAATAAATGTTTCCTGACCAACTGACACACCACTCTTTCTCAAAAAAAGATTAGATTTAATCAGAATTTAAGAATTGAAAGGGAACACAAAAGCCACCTAGTTCAACTCATAATTGACCAAGAAGCCTTTCCACAACTGTGTGCTAAAATAGTCATACAGCTTATATATTTGAAGAGTCAGTAAAGTACATTGAAAAGAATAACAGATTTAGAATCAAAGGGTATGAGTTTAAATCTGTCTTTGTCACTGAATACATGTCACCTCTGTCAAGGCACTGAACCTTTCTAGGTCTCAGATCTTTCACCTATTAAAAAAAAAGGGGTGGGGGCAGACCAGATGGCTTCTCAGGTTATTTCCTGCTTTAAAATCTATGATGCCACGAACGAAGAAGAACCCACTCTTGTCAGAGGCAGCCCGTTCTTCTTTCAGACAATTCTAATGGTTGGGAAGATTTCTCCTATGTTAAGCTGAAATCCCCTTTTCTGCTCCAAGTTTTGCTCTTTGGGGTCAAAGAGAATAAGTCTATAAA